CTCCATTGGAGGACCTCCACTCAACCAATCAAGCAGGAAACCCAGGCAGCCACCCCCGATCGACAAACGACCATGGCCGCCGCCAACGCCCTCACCGGCGCTTCCGTGTCCCGCGGAGCCGGTGCGAGCATGAGCGGCTCTGTGACTGTCGTGTGCCGGCGCTCCGTGGTGGCAGCGGCACCAACGTCCAGGACGTCGTCCTTGCGTCCCGTGCGGGGCGGTGTTGTCGGGACGGCAGCCCCCGTCGTGGCAACGGCGGAGGGCGACGACGGGAGGCGTTTTGGGCAGCTGGCGGCGCCGTCTGGGCTGGTGGATGAGCTCGTGGAAGAGGCGCTCGTCTGGTGCTCGCAGCACGGCCTCGTCGTCGGCGACAAGAACCACCCGATGACGTGACCTTACCTTGCTAGCACATTTCCTATACGTTGGAGTTTACCGTCACTATTTATTATTACAAAAATGACAAAAAAAATTGACACGGCAAATCAAATATTTTTCATGGCAATTTATGTTGATGCGAGTATGACAAATTTAGTTGGGGAGCATGGTAATTTCCTGGCAGAAAAATGATCATCCATGGTGGATTTACCATGTTCGCAACTAAAATTGTCACCTGGGCAAACATAAATTTTCATGAAAAATATTCAATTTGCCAAGCCTAAAAATCTGACGTCCACTGGATATTCACATCCTATTATTATTACCACGAGTGCAAAAGCACCCACCACTATTGACGCACACGGATATCTATAGCTTTGAGTTGATATAATTGTTGCTGTTTGTGGGCAAAACGAGCAACCATTAAAATTCTGCATATTCGAATTTGGAGAAACCATTTATTAGTTTGAATGACCATTTACTATGGAACAGTTCAGTACAGTCTATCTTATATAGGTATCGATGTAAATTTCAAACTATCAGTTCAATGAAATACCTTGCCCCACCTTAGTTCAACGAAATGAATTAACTTTTTAGAAGTGATGTAAATTCTCAAGCTTCAGTTCATTTAGTTGAAGCAAGCATGGTTGGAGGAAAGCCTAAAGCTTCCAAATTTGCATGCCTATACACAGAAGTTGAATAGATGGGCTTTGCAAGGTTTTTTTTTTTTACAAACTAGGCCGACAACCATCTGGAAAGCTAGTAGAGAACAAGAGATTCAGCTTCTAAGTAAGACTCTAGCGAGCTGAAACTATGACATGTAAATGATGTCTTCTTTTTTCGAAACATAAGGTAAACAAATTACTGAACACATTGCCATAGTTTGATTTAAGATTGTTTTCATCATCACAGTAATGTAAAGAACACAATATAGGATTTGAGCCCTTGTGGGATACAACCCAAGGTTTTGGATCCCAAATAGGCAAATTTTCTTGTGGGTGGGCGATATTCCCGATAACCACGGTTACCGAGAAATACCGAAAAAAATTCGAATGAAATTTACAATTGAATTTTGAATTGAAACAATTTTAAATTAGGTATAATAATATATTGAACTAATCTGATTCAGAAAGGAGGTAGTATAGCTCAGTGGATATCCACTACGTGCGCCATTAGAGCATCTCCAATAGATGGTCCAAATTTTGACGGTCCAAAATCGAAAATGTAAATTTTGGACCGCCAAAAAGCGCGTTTTGGAGCTCCGAAAAAAGGCCAACTCCAACAGATGGTCCAAATTCATGGTCCAAAAAAGCAACTCCAATAGATGGTCCAAATTCATGGTCCAAAACCGGCCAGCAGCCGCCCGACTGTTGTTCAGCCGCTGGCCATCGGTTGGATTGGCTGCTGCGGACGGCTGCGGTCGGCTCCGGATGGCGGCGGTGATAAGAAATGAGGTAGGAGGCCGGCCAAGAGGAGCTCGGCGGGCGGCGAAGAGTAGTTCGGCAGCCGGGTGGAGGGCTTGGTGCGGCGGTCGTGTGGCCGGTGCAACGGCCATGGACATGCTCACGGCCGACGGGAGGAGGTCGGCGGCAGCCTATAAGATCCAGCGAAGGCCTACCGCGGCAGCCAAACCACCGGAGGGACCGAATCCCGCGCCGGCTGCCACCCGATTCGGTGGCGTCCGGGCGGCGGCGGGGATGTGAGATGGTGGCGGCGCCGACGGCGAGGTTTTGGGCGGTCGCGGCGGCGGATTCTGGCCGGCTATTCTTCGGGCGGCAGGACGGGCGCGGGCGGGAAAGGAAATGAAGTGGCGGTTGGGCGTTCGCGGGCGGCGGCTGGTTTTGGACCAGATGCATCTTGTGATGTATATTTGCACCGCTGGGTGTTGTATTTTATATCACGAGGAGCCCGCGGTCCAAATTTTCTTGCATATGGACCGTCTGTTGGAGCAGCGTTTTTTGTCCAAAACGGTTCAAAAATTAGGTATTTTTATATATGAACCATCTATTGAAGATGCTCTTATCTGTGTAGAGGTCCTGAGTTCAATTCTTTGGCCGTCATTTTTTCACGATTTTTACTGCATATTCTGAAAAATAACAAAAAGAACAAAAAAAATGCGGAAGGAGGACTCAAACCAGCTACCTCTCGACGCGAATAACAAATGGTCACCACTACGCCAAAGTAAGGGAGTTATCTCAAAAGAGAAACAAAGACAATTTATTTGACCTTGAGCATTCAAATTCAAATTATTCAAAAATTTCGGTATTTTTTGCTCGGGATAGGTATTTCTCGTGGGGCAGCGAGAAAAGCGGTTACCGCTCTGTATCCGTTTTTCTCGGGCGGTACCCAAAACCATGATACAACCACACCCTTCTGATCATCCAACCACTGATTGATTCTCGAGCGTCGCTCTTTGTTTTTTTTTTTTGAGGGGTGACCTGCATGAAAACAACTTGTCCAGTATCGAGGGCCCAACATGGTATGATGCGTCGCTGGATGGATTGTACGTCTGCGTCACTTTTAGATAGACGGTTGCTCCACACATATCCTGGGGCATAAAAAAAGGCGCACGAGGTGCATGAGGGGTCTCGTGTCCTAGTCACAGCTTTGCCAACTTGTTAGTTTGTGTGACAGCGAAGTAGCACAATGACCGACTAGTGACAGGGCCAGAGCAGCAGTGCAAGAAAGGGACACCTGTCGATGCCATTGTGTGACTAATATAAAAAATGCCACAATTAAAAATAGGAAAATTTCTCAATCACATCTTTTACTTCAGAAGCATGTGGGTGATAGGTTGACGGAGACAATTTTTTAGATAAGCGACGGATTCTAGAATGGTTTGTTCTGGAAAAGAGTGTAAAATGTGTATGCCATGCATGCAGGACCGTCCCATGGGGGTACACCTACCTGTTTGTCATTTTGGCTTCGTTTTGTCTAGTAAAAGTACAACAGATCCATTAGCCAAAACAAGAGCGAATCAAACCCAGCCCACCACTGAACCGCGTAGATTTGGAGGGGATATATATATAAAACTATTGGCTAGCTCCTCAAGGCGATCATAATTGCGCCAGCTACATTTTGTTCTCAAAATTCAGTAAACATATGATTACTTTGAAGCACTGCGTGCTGCCACCTGCTGACTTTGCTAGTTGAGTTCAACCTGTCACAGTCATTTCATTATTGTTATTTTCAAAAGAAACACGAGCATTACAACTATTAAGACATACTCCCTCCGTTCGGAATTACTTGTCGCAGAAATGGATGTATCTAGATATATTTTAGTTCTAGATACATTCATATCCGAGACAAGTAATTCCGAACGGAGGGAGTAGTTTGCCAACATGTCATCATGTGCATCGATGTCATCACCACTTACAACGGATGAGGGAGAGTGGGTGTTTGTAAACTGACAAATCTGACTAAATGATAGTACACCTTTTTTTCTGAAAACTTCACGGGAGCATTCTAGCACTTCCTCTCTAACTAAATATAAGACATTTTTGTAGTTTGTACAAAAGCGTCTTATATTTAATTAGTTATAGAGGTAGTATCTATTAGAGGAGAAGAAGCGAAC